TTCACATTCTAAATATAAATTGAGAGAAAATGCTTGGTTGCTTATGATAAGAAAAATACCAAAAAAACAGTATAGAAAGATTTAAGATATTATTGCATTCATGCAACTAAAAGTTCTATTTCAAAAAATTCTAATATGTGCTAAATTAATTTCCATTTTAGTAATGCTTTAAGATTGTTAATAAAGAAAAAAACTATAAAATAGAACTCTATCAACAAATATTTGACACAAGAAGTATATTAAAATAGATTTAAATTAAGGGTTAATTTAGGTACTCCAATAATTCTCCAAAAAGGAACGGTTTTTTCTAAAAAACTCTCTTAAACCTTGAAAAATTGAAGTCTGGGTAAACAATAATATTAGATGTATCTAAATTTTAAATAATATTCTTTTACTGCAAAGGAGTGGTAAAAAAAGGATATCTTGTATTTTTAACCTAAATTTCTTTATATCTATAATCTGAACAATACTTGTTTTTGATTTCCCATAGAGGGATAGAGTTATCCCAACTACCAGAAGCTATTGTATTTCCATCAGGAGAGAAACAGACTGAATTCACACAACTACTATGACCATCTAATTTGGCTTTTTATTATCCTGTTTTGACATCCTATAGAAGATAGGCATATAATTTTTAATAGAACTTGATAGTTATTCAAAATACATTTAATTAAAGTAGGATAAAACAAAAATCTTCATTATTTTTCAAGTCTTAAAACAAACAGAGTAAGGATTATTTTAAATAAAGGTAATTGCATTTAATGTCAAGAAATTGAAGAAATTTCCTTTGCAATAATCAAAAAAAAAATTTATTTAAGATGAAGAATTATTTAATTCTTTATCAGGCCTTTGATTTTAGTCACGTCTTTAACATAAGGACTCCATAAACTTATAAACTAAAGAGATACTCATAGGATATTTTATTAAATAACTTATTTCCTTGATTATTCTAACTCTTCCTATTAAACAATTGACTTATTTCAATAACAAAATTCCTCATTTAATAATTTCCTTCTCAATTTGCTTAAATTAAATTTTCCTTTTACAAAATGGGTAGAATAATGAATTTCTAGAAAAATGCTTTGAGAGACATATCAAAAATTAGAAACCCTTAAACTATCTAAAAAAAAAGTAAAAATCGTTATGGATAATAATTTAATAAATTATTATTTTTCCTTTAATCATATTAAATTCTCTTTTCGGATAGTAGGGCATATTTTATTTAATTATAATCTTATATTTATCAAAAGTGGAAAATTTTTATTAATATGCTAGTATATAAGATGAGCATTAGCTTAAGAATAACAAAAACACGGATATTCTAATGATCATTTTAAAATTAAATTTTAAATTTGCGATTTATTTTAGGTTTTACACCAGAAGTATAGGCAATTGTCTTAATTTTGCTTCAAATGTTTCGCATCAATTTCTAATTTACAGAGGGCTAACTTGAGATGAAACTACACCATTTAAAATACCTAAAAATTGTAACCTTTTCAAGTATTAGCATATGAACTGGATAGTTCATATTAATACCCTTCATTACATACTAGCATTTTTAATTTGTGAAATATTTAAATAGATTAGTTATTCGATTGTTATTAATGACCACGATATTTCTATAATCAATATCCAATAAAAAATTTATATTTATTATTCTCTCAGGAATAATTTAACCAAGAGAATACTACAGATTAGCGAATAATTCTTGATAACCATTTCAAGTCTTGATCAAAGGGCAAGAAATGACGCCACTTCAAAAACTCTTTTTTCACGACAGTTTTTGGGACCAAACCAACCAAGGAGCACGAGGGATGATTAAGGAGAGTACTACATAGCGTCGGTTTCTGCTACAAAAGCTTGTCTCAAATTATTCTAAACATATTTATGTTTAGATTCAAATTCATTTAGTTCATCTTAAACAGATTAGTGTTTCACTCTATTTTCATCCACTTCATTTTATTTCTCATATACTTCCTTCATTATTTCACTAAAAGGGCTGATTATAATTTTCTACCTTTCTTCATAAACAACCGCTTAAATATTTACTTACCAAATTCTTGCAAACTCCTTAAATGAGATAAAATATGAAATGCAATAATTGAACTAATAAAATTGAAACACTATTTTACAACGAATTTATTACTACACTCCAAAAAATGAGAAATTGATATTTCATGAATATCTCAAGATAAATATCTTTAATTTAGTATTTAGATTGCTTTTACGTTGGTAGAATACAATCAAAAGAATAAAAGGATTTTCAATAAGTCTAAGTCTAATTAAAAGTTATTGAAAAATACAAGATTTATTGAAAAAGTATTATTTCATCACAGATTTTCAATAAAACTGAGAATAGAGAAGAGAAAACAACAAATACTTTTTATTAAAAAACCTTTTTCTTTATATCCTCTTTAAAAATCCAAATTGTTTTTACTGATCTAAATCCTTAATAATTATTGTTTCAATCTTATTTTAATTAATAATTTAAGATCTGATAATTCTTATATATCGTTGTTTTTTTATTTAGGATGTATAAATTTATATATAACAATGATGTTAAGAAATTTAATTATTAAATTCATCTATCTGTTTTAGTTAATTCATCTATAACCATTTCATAATTATTGTTCCATCTCTAAGAATTAAATTCCTGCTCTATTTTCTTCTAAGAAAATAGTCAGATAATTACTTTATTTATATCATTAACATTATTTGTAGATGTCTCAAAAAATTAGGTTTATTAATATGATGTTTTTTGTTTAGAGCTACTTGATTCAACTGGTCTTGAACAATAGTTCGCATTTTCTGAGGTTCGGGGTTAATGTGTATTAATCTCATATACTTTCATTTATTATTATTAATTAGAATATGGATATCTAGATTATGATTCTATATTTATTTATTAAACTGATGATTATTTTATGAATTTTTAACTATTACTTTCTGATCTATCAATCTGATAAATATACTCCTTTTAAATTTGCTGTTTTTATTCGATCTAAGATTTATAGGTTTCAATTAATAATTATTGTTCTTCGTATCTTTTTTAAAGCCATTAGTTATCTGATGCTTAGACCAATAATTTATCTATTTCACTTCTTAATTCGATAACCTATTAAAAACTAAAAAAATAATATACAGTTTTTTATAATCTCTTTATCTCCATTTTAAATACTTCACTTTATTCATTCTCTTTATATTCATTTAAAGTTATTTAGATTGTCTCATAATTCGATTATAATGATACATATCTTTGCTCAATTTATTCGTATCTAATTTTCCATTAGTTAACTTCTTAATCAATTAGTAGTTTTTATTTTTACTCCAATTTTTCATATTTATCTCTCCAGACTTAAATTTATTCTTTCAAGGAGTTTGTATTTTCCAAATTAATAGATACCGTCGATATTCTTTACTAATAAATTGCAATGTCTGATCTATATTAATCTAATTCTAATGATAATTATTTAATTCTATCTTCTTTTTATTCCAATAATTATTCGAGTTCTTTAATTCTATATTATATTGTATTTTATTGTTATTAAATGTTTTTGAATTCTTCTATTTTTCTTTTTAATTATTAATTTAATGAAAGTTCTTGTTCATATAATGCATTAATGTCTATGAATTATCTTTTAAGGATTTAATCTTATTCATTATTTTATTCATATTAATATATTTTTCTAGTGAATTATTCTATATCAGCATTTTAACTTCTAATTTAATCTTTTAGAGATTAAATTTATAACAAATAATTTTCAGTTTCTGATTTTCTGTTTTCAAATTAATACATTTTAGTTTAATATGATTCTATTTAAATCTATTGTTTCTCGATTTATTCTTATAACAATATACATTTGTTTGTCATGGTTTCTAATTATTGAGATTTCATTTTCAAAAGTCTTTCAACTTCAGGATCCACAATAAGTTCCTTTTAAACAAACTTAGACTTTCCTTCAATAATGTAATATTGAGATTATAATTAATTAAATCTAAGTTATAATTAATTATATTGCTCTGTTTTTAATTGTAATTACCTTTCAGTTTCAGGATCTGGTTGATATATAGTACGAGTTTCATGCATAGATTATTATTTGAGTTTATCTTAATAGACTTACAATTAATCTGATAATAATAAATATCTAGTATTTAATTCATCATATTATTTGATTTTTTTTTAAAGTAACTAATCAGTTTCAGGATCATTCTAATAGAGGACTTTGGTTTCATATTGCATTTCCTTTTGCATGATCTTACTAGTTTCTTAGAGTTAATAAAATTATTATTGTAATAGAGTGTATCTGGTTTATAATTCTTACAATTGCCTTTCAATATCAGGATTTGATTGATAGATTATCTTTGTTTCATGTTAAATCTCTTTTTAAACATTTTAATTCATTTCTTATAAAGTGAAATATTAAGATTATAAAATAGAATACTTGGATTATAATTCTTTGAAAAGCCTTTCAGTTTCAGGATCTGCTTTATAAATGGTAGTGACTTCATTCTTTGTATTGGATAATTCATTTTTTAATCTCTCAACTTTAGAATTAAGTCTATCATTATCTTATTTAAGTATTTCATTATCCTACTGAATATCTAATAATTATTTTTGTAATTAATCAACATCTAAATCATTATTACCTGCTCTCAACTCCAAATTATCATTATTTTAATCTTGATTTACTTACAATTATTTAATTGTGGTTTGTTGGAATGAATTTTCATATTCTTTTTAATTTAGTTTTCTTTTTCGATCTTCAATTTCTTTTTTATCTAAATTATCATATGCTTTTTGTTTTAATAATTCCTAATTCAACATTATAAATTATTTTACTTTTTGTATTATCTAATATTACTTTTTCCATACATCAATTTCTTTGCCTTTATCAATTAAGAACTAACTCATTCTATTCATTTCCACCAATAATTATTCTATTCTATTATCTTATTCTTTTAACTATTTTAAATATTTAACAGCATACTTTTTTAAGATGGTTATAACATTCTGGACATTATTGGAGTGAATTTCTTGGTTATGGTGATTGAGATTGTTTGATTATTTGGAATCCTTAATTTTGTAGATCATTATTTCTAACTTTGACAATAAATTTATGGGTCATGTTTGCTCCTTCAGGTAATTATGATAATCCATGCAATACTTCTCCATTTTCTAATTTCTATTAAATTTCTCTTTTTTCCTATGATGTTAATTCTTCAAGTTAACTATTTAAGGCTTATCGTTAACTTGGTGGCTATTGCTAATCATTCATAAATTTCATTTAAGAGTTTGAAAATTTTGTTAGTGCAGTTATCTATCTATAGGATGATGGTAGAGATTAAGGTATATATCTTGATGAATTAGAACGAGGTATTGAATTTGAACGATCCATTTTTTTAATTAATATTAAAATGTCAAGGTAGGTTTATGTAAGTCCAGAAAGAATGACAATTCAAAAATTGGAAGAGTACCCCTCTGCTTTGTAAGACTTGAATTTTAATCATTGTATGATAATTATTTCATTTATGATTAGCAAGGTTCTAAGAGATAGAGGGAGAGTTCAAAGCTTTGGATGTCGATCAAAGTGGTTGGTTATCATTGACAGAATTGGAATTGCATTTGAAAAGGAAAGGATGTGATTAACAATTAGTATAGGAGATCTTTAATGATTTAAATACCAATTAGGATCAAAAAATATCAAAAGATGAGTTCACTCACGGTTATCTGAATAAAGAGTAAAATCTTATAGATTAAGTTAAATCATTCGAAATCAAAATTAAACAAATCAGAACAAGCGAAGAAGAATTTAAACAATAGATAAATGTAGCAAATCATCAATAATTCATAATAACACTATAATCAGGTTGTCTAAACTAATTTTATAGATAGTAAGATGATATTATAAAAGCGTCAAAATAAATTGAAGTTCTCTTTTAATGTAATGAAGCTTCTGATGGGCATGATAGATTTAGCAAGCCAAGCTTAAATTGTGAATATCCGGTTTGGGGTGATAAAATTACTTATATTCTTCATTAAATACACTAAATAGAAATTTCAGTTGAATTAATTGAAATACACTAACTTCAAAAATAGTCTCTTGGCAAATTAAGAGTCCAAAAAGACCTTCAATAAGACTTTCAAATTCAAGAGTAACTAATTTTCGAAGGCATTGGTGAAATCTTGGTTCTTTTTGAATATATAAATGATTGGGTAAATTCATTTCTTATATCTTTATAGAATGAGTACATAAAAATGCAAATGCAATATTGTGAATAAAATGTCAATAATCTTCTAGATTAAATCAGATAGATTAAGCGCAAATTGTACTTTATGAAATAATTATATAATTTTGATAACAGCAACTTGAAGCAAAAGGAAACTCTATCACTCTCTCTATTACCAGCTTACAAATTGGATAACTAAACAAATAAATCGTTTCAACAATAAGAAAATAAAGCTTAATATGATACTCAACCAATTTTCAATTAGTGTTAGCAGTCATAACCAGAATCAATAAGGATTCAATAAATTGCTATCCTAGATTAATAAGATTATAAATAATAAAATGATTTGCCTGATGCTTTTAACATATTTAAGCATTCCTTAAGTGAACCTGATGCATTCATTATTGATATGGACCAGATTAAGAATCAATAGAATTACAAACTAATGGGTATATTAGTTCTACTTATAACAATCAATATTGCTTTTTCAAGATGTGATTTTCTAGGCTTACTGCTAGTTCTGTTAAGTATTCCTTATTAAAATAAGAAATGGAATAATTAGTAACTTTAATTCTATTCTTATGGAATGATCTTTTCTTTGATATTAGACTTTTACTGGTATTTATATAGTATAACAAAAGGATCCTAAAATTTGCTAATTGTTTTTCTAATCTATATTAATGCAATAATTAATATGGATTTGCATTATCAATCTACTTTTTATGCCTACTAACTTGTCTTGGGAAAATTTATGTACTCTATAAAGTCCGTGGATATCATTGATCTAAATTTCCTAATGAGTTATAAACTTTAGATTGTGTAACATTTAATATCATTAATATAATTAATTATTTTATAAAAAATAAATGAAGGGGAACTAAAGATATACACAAATTCATTTAACAAATCCACTTCCTCAAGATAATATGATTGAGAATGTCTTCGAATCACTTGTAAATGAATTAAAATAGTTTCGTTAAAACGTTCCAGTAGGTTGTTTGACAGATAAATGCTCACATCAATAAAAGGAAAAATAGGATTTAAGTATGTTTAGTGGAGCAGGAGGATATCTCTATTTATATTTGAGAATGTACGAATTTGTTAAAACTCTTCCAGAGGATCTTTAAACATTTTGTACGAGTGGATTAAGTGATTAAGAATTACCCGAATTTTATAATCCAGAAATCTATTTAGATTTAGCATAAAAATAATATGATGCTATGCAAGCCATCTTAAAACAAGATAGATATATTACATTTTTAATGAGCAACATAGCCATATCACTATTAGGAGCAGACTTATATTTCATTAAAAAAGATAAAGAAAACTTTTCAAAAAATATATCTTAGGTTTTGGGTGTCTTTGCCAATATAATGGCTAATCCAAATTAATTTTAACAAGAGTTATTATATGGAATCCCAGGGTATTTATATATGTTTTTGTGGATAAATAAAAAATACTCTAAAGAACAAGGACCGTATCAATTAGATTTAACATCCCATATATTTAATTTATGTAAAATGATTGTTGCTCAATGTGGTGATGGAATAATGAAGTGTAAATTTTTTAATTAAACTTATTTTGGTGCTGCTCATGGTATTTTAGGAATTATTTAAATATTATTGCTGAGTTATGAGTAAGCTAAAGATTACTTTCATTTGAAAGATGAGAAGTTTACATTAAAAATGCTTGAGTCTATTTAATTAACTCTGGATTATTTAATAAAGATCTATTATAAATAGGGTAATATTCCACCTTCTGCCGAAGGTATATAAAGCGTAGAATTACAACAATTTTGTCATGGAATACCAGGAGCACTAAGTCCATTGTTGAAAGCATATCAAATCTTTAATAATCAAGATTACATGAATGCTTCAATTCATATGTCAGAGACATTATATAAATATGGTATGATAAAGAAAGGATATGGAATATGTCATGGTATACCAGGGAATAGTTATGGATTTATGCAAATATATTAGGTAACTAAAAATGAGAAATTTAGAAGATATGCTTTCTAATTTTTACAATATAAATAAAACCCTCATGTCTTCAACGAAGTTAAAAACTTTCCATTCTATGATAGACATGTTGTTGGAATGTCTGATAATCCTTTTAGTTTGATGCTGGGATCGGTTGGTGACATGTGTGCAATGATGGATTTTATAAATTATAAAAGAATGCCAGGATATGAAGTTTGATATATATATTTATGATATAAATTTGGATATGAAGAATATTTAATGAAGAAGTGCTTGATTTAGTTAATTAATATTATAAATTAATGAATATTATCTTAATATTGATCACATATTATCCCTACCTCTTGTCTAAGAGGAAGTTATTACCAAACCATTAGTATTTGAAACTACTTATCTATCAGCATCTCTAAATCAGAATAATTAAAGAATAAGTTCCTGGCTTATCTTGCATCTGCATATTCTTTAGTGGCTTTTTCACATTCAGTCCATCTATCTATTCTTCTTTTATTTAGTTATTTTAATCGTTAATTAGCATTTTCTAATGAAGCTTTAATTTATCTGATAATATCCGAGACATTGGCGGAATCAGATTCAGAATTAACTAATACACTTTCTGCAATAGTCAAGGCAATAACCAATAATTTTCTTGTTTTATTGCATGCTTTAACTTTTTTTGTCTTCAGAGAATTTTTTAAACTTAAAGAGTAACTGTCTTCATTAATTAATCTGTCAAATAGATAGACAACTTGATAGAATACAAAAATGTTATGAATACTCTTAAATAGTGCTATTATTAAATTTGACTTAAAAAATACATGATAGGAACATATCTGTACATGTATTTAGTTTGTTAATTTCTGTTTTGATTCTTTATGTTTTTTAAAAAAGGAAATGCCTTCTTTTGGAATTTCTTTAGACTATTAAGTTTATTTATTTTTTAAAAATGATGAGGTGGCTTCAACATTGACTTTAATAATTTTTCTGCTACAGTCAATACTGAAATGGGAGTCTTGTAATCTGCTTTAACTACTTCAAATTCATCATATTAAGCTGATTTTTCAGCAATTTCCTTTTGATATCCTTATGAAAAGAGAGATTGATATATAACCCTTAACTTATGCCTTTTTGGCTTTAACAAATCCTGAAATAATAGTTCATCTTGGATAAGAATTCCCTTCCAATTTTGCTTCAAGGGGGATTCTTTCAGAATCTATATTAGCAATATCTTTGTCATACGCAGCTATATCAACATTGAAGGAATCCTAAAATTCTCTGTTTTCAAAAAATTGTTTTAAGTAAACTATCTAAAGGATTTCCAGTCTCCAATTCTAACCAAATGGTATCAAATAAAGTTCTTCCAAATGAAGTTTCATTTATTCTGTGAATCAATCAAATTTATTCCAATACTTATGTTGCAAATGTTGTGTATGCAAGAACTAATAAAAGCACGTTTATACTTTTCATTAAATTAATTATTGATCATAAAATTTTATATTAAATAGAAATTAAACTTTATTTTAAACTCACAAATAATGACTTAAATGTAAGTTATAGAAATTTATTAACAATCTTTCAATAGATGAATGACTCATACTATAGGAAAATTAAGATTTATCTAATGATCAATTCTTATTCCTGAGAAAGTTAAAATTCTTGTATTGATTTACATCTGTCACATATTCTATACTTAGTGAAAAACTTTGATAGTTCAATTTTATTTGAATTGATATAACAACAACAAAAATTTTATCTATCATCAGAATAGTAAATTATTTATGTCATATTACTAATGATTAAAAAGGATTAACAGCAATCTTTGTTGTTTTTTCTCATTTGGTAGTAATAAATTTTTCTTTAGATGCTTATATCTACATATAGCTTAATTCTCATATTACAATTAGCCTTACATGATAGCATAAGTGTCATTTGAGTTGTCAAAGATTTTACATTTCCAGATCAAACTTTTTAGAATAAAATATCTATAAAATCACTATTATTATAATATCATTATTGGCTTTATATTGGGTAGTTGTCTGGTTATAAATATCAGGAGCTATGCTAGAGTAGTTACTGATCAATTTGCTTATGTCTTTGGAATTTTATTATACTGAGTGATTGTCAAAAATATTATCAGAAGGAATGTTTAAATAAAATAGAAATCCTAATTATATACGGAAAATGGTATTATAGACATCATTTGCAATCCTTAGTGCAAATTAATTTGCTAATACAATACTCTAAACAACATGAATAGTTGGATTCTATGGATGTATGATTATTAAAGATATTTCATTCTCCAAAAAGTAGTGGTGGAATTAATATAAATATTTACCTAATTATTTTAGAGAAAGATTCATTAAAATGACATTATAAATTATACTTTATATGGAGATTCAATCATATTTCATAAATTAATTATTGATATCAAAAAAAATTCTACCTAGTAAATTTAATTTGTCAGTTTTATTTCAATTTACTATTGCCTATTTTTATTGGAATTAAATGGAAATGAAAATTACAAAATTATTTTTGTTTTCAACCATAATCTTATTTTAATTATTTACCTGACCCAATAAACGTTATTCTAGTTTTATCCTTTGGTTTAAAGAACAAAATCTTGCATACCAAAAATTGAATGCTTTTATACAATAATTTATTCTCCATTTCCAAGATCTTTATCAATCACTGTTTCCTCAAGTTTCAAAAAGATTAATTGTCGTTTCATTAGATCACTTGAAAAGACTATCTTTTAATAATTTGATTAGAATTTAGTAATTGGTGCAACTTTGATAAAATCATCAGCTGCTGTCATTGATGATTCTTTGTTAATATAATTAATAAAAATAACAGCATCCAAGACTTTCGCTTTCACTGTTTAAGCACTTATACCACCATAAGCAATATTCTCTTTGCTAATATTTACAATGGTCTCTTAATTTTTAATAATAAAATATGATCTTTTATTTTTAATTTCAATATTGTCTTAATAATATTATTAATACTTTTTTCAGTAATTATTTATTCACCAGATAGTATAACTATTTGTTCCATATTATCTCCTATAATTGAGAATTTAACTCTTTATTTTAATAAATTCTAAGGATCATTTATATAATATAATTATTGGAATTTCTAAGCATTTATGGCAAGATGAACTAAATATTACAAAGATATGTATATATGATTAAATTTTAGGATTATTGGCATTTTTCTAATAAGTCTAATAAATTGAAATTACAAAAGTATTACGATTATTTTAAACTAATATTATGTATATTCAATCTTTAAACTATTCAATAGTATTTCTTATTGAATCTATAGCCTTAGTGAGTATTTCATTTTAGTTTTAGATTTCAACTAAAATGTCTACTTAAGGTTTATTAACAAATGATATTCTTAGACGATTGAGTGGTCAATTTTTTCAGAGGACCATATTTTATGTTTCTAAATCTTATTTAAATTAGATTTTAGGTATTACCCTCAATTTATAAGGTTATGGATCATCGACGAATAGTCGTTACTGTTTATATTTAACATAATATTATAATTCGTTTTTGGAGTACTCTTAGTAATTAAATATAAAATAATGAAACACTTTGTCGTGTTAGCCTTGATTGCATGCATCTATGCAACATCTATAACTGAGATGACTGACAAACTCGCCCAATATAGTGATCATCCGTTTGGAAAGTCAATGGTCAATTTGGTTTCTGTCAACATGAAGACTGGTGGATCACTCAATGAATTAAAACAACTCTTGTAATAAATTAAGGATGAACTTATTGCTCTTACTTAATTACAAGATTAAGAAAATGCTACTTTCACTCGTAGAAGCTAAGTTGATTTGGCTAAATTACAAGCTACTTTAGAATAAGCATAAGCTGATTTGGACAATTAAAGATAAGAACAATCAAGTCTTAGTAATGAATTGGCTACTCTTTAAACCAGAGTCAAGGAAGGTAATCTCTTTCCTTTATAATTAATTTGCAGATCAAGCAGCTTTAGACAGAAATGGTAGAGGAAGTGGAGATGCTCAATCTAGATTGGATGCAGAAAACAATGATTTTTCAGCTAAATATTAAGATTACAATGATGCCATTTTAGCTTGTAAGGAAGCTTAAAGATTGCTTATGAACTTAAGAGGAGAAGGAGCATCTTTAATTTAACTTACGTAAATATTATTTAAAATAATCTATTTTAGTTAAGATACCAAAAGCAATCTTCTTTAAACCAAAGAGAATTTCTAGAAAATAAAGGAAATTTTAGAGGCTCATACTAAAAAGAGCTCACTTACTTTGTTCTAACCAATTATCGAAGGATTAGCTGAAATGACAACTAAAGTTAATCCAGAAACACTCAATAATGTTTTGAGTTTGGTGGCCCGTTTAATTACTGCCTTATAAGAGGGACAAGATTAATTAGAAACCAATCATAAGACTTAAGTAAATAGAATTTATTTAATTTTAGGTCGAAAACTTGACTAGATTAGGTGATGACTTGAGAAATGAGAAACAAACATTATAAGTTTCGTTAGCTACAGCCAATAATAGACTTAAAGAAATATAATCTAGATTGAATGAATTAGATGGTTTGATTAATATTTCAAATGCTTTGGTTGAAGTTACTCAATTAAACATTTAAGATGCTACAAAAATAAATGAATTGGAGGATTCAGAATATAGCAATTAAAAAGTTAGTAGGTAATAGTAAATTATAATTATTAAGATAAACTGAAATTGATATAGTTGATAGACTAATCGAATATATTAATCAAAAATTATCTGAATGAGTTGACACAATTATATCCAAACAATTATTTTAAACAGACCAATATTCTATTATTTTTATTTTTTATTTAAATTCTAAATTAATTAATATTTTTAATAGAAATCAAATACGATATGAGTGAAGAAGATTTAATTTTGAATAAAATGGAATTACAAACATACAAGATTACTAAAGATAGTAATGATAAACTCAAAACTCAAATATCTGAAAATGATGAAAAAATTTAAAAGATGAAAGATCTAATAGAAGAAATAAAATAAAAAAATATAGAAATAAGTTAGGAGTTTGTAAATTAGAATAAGGTATAAATAAAGAATAAATTTAGGAAATTGAAAATTTGGGGAAGGAATTTTAATTAATCAAAAATGAAAATGATGCTTAAATTTATAAATTGAAAGATTAATTAATAAAATATGAACAAAGATATAGTGAATAAGAAAAAATCAATGAGAATTCAATCATTCAATAACAATTCAAACAACCAAATCGATATTTTTGTGATGTATTTTATATAAACTTATAATTAGATCTAAAGATCTAAGGATGGGAGAAAAGAAGCAAAGATTGTATTCGATCAAAGTTTTAAAAGTAAGAGGTTATTAACAGATATTCAGCAAAATTCTTTGAATTTTATTGTTTATTTAGAGAATAATGAAATTTCTCATGTGATAAGATAATAAATTCAATTAGATTCAGAAAACAATTCAATATTTTAAGGAAATGAAGTAACAGTTAAAATTGGATGATATTTCTGAGATATTTATATAAAAAATGTTAGTATAAAAAATTATCATAATTTAATATTAATTTTATAATGATAATATGTTTAATTAAACAATGACTCAGAAGTTGAACCCAGATTAAACTTATCAGCAGAACAATAAATAAAATAATTTAAATCCAATCCTTTAATTTAATGAATAAAGATAAATGCTGATAATGCTGAATATTGATGTAAATTGGCTTAAAATTTAAGCATTTTGTTGTAAAACAAGAGGACAGTTTCAGGATAAATTATAGACTGATTTAACAATGCGAAATCTCTCTATTAAGAATTCTATTTAAAATTGGTGCAAGGGAAAAAATACTGGTGAAGAGTTAAAAGCACCAATATGCAAATTACCATCCTAACATGCACAAAATTAATAATTAAATTAGAAGTTCTAATAATAAAAATCAGTTGAATTACCCATACTCAAACCTATCTCTTTTGCATTTACTGAAATATAAAAGAAATATAAATAAATTAATAGATCTAAAAAATAAAAAACACCTCTGCATTTGTCTGCTGTATAATGTCCAATAAATACTGTAGAATTCAAAAAGCCTGAATTCAATAAATCGATTAATTCTAGGTTGCATTCTAATAAATTTAAAACAGTCATTGAAATTAAGGTTGTATAAGATAATAAGTATTTTATGATTTCAGATTAAGGAAGGGAAATAAATAATATATAAACTTAATAAAAAGTTAAAGATTAAGTAGAAACATTATATTCATAATTTTTTGGAAGTATTAATAGAAAAAGAGCTGTTACTATTTGCAATGGGCAAACAAATGAAATTGATTTTGAATATAAATCGACAAATTTGGAGAATAAAATAAAAATACATAAATTTTGAAATATCTTTCATCTATAAAAAACAATAATACTAACAAGTTAATATTATGCAAACAGAATTATCTATTGTCTACTTAGTAACTCCCATCCTTTTTTATTAAATGATTGATAAGTATTATAATAATTAAGGACTGATAGTTTAATCTATGTAACTTTTTTTAAAAACATTTAATTTTCATGGTCAAGTAGATTTTAGCAAAATATACTTCTTGCTAAAGCTAACAGAGATAAAATTTTCTATCATTATTGATTATTTTCTTAGGTTCAGTTTGTAATAATAATTTTTCATCCATTCTTAATTAGTATTTTAAGTTAATTATTATGATTATTTATTAAGTATTTCTGATAGTTTTCAATATTTTTTAATTATTATTTATCCCAATTAAATAGTTAAAGAAGCAAAGGAAATAATATTTGTTATAATTATCAATTTTACCTTAAAAAAATATTATTATAAATATTTATAAATATAATGATATTGTCTTTTTAATTTTGAAATATTTACACACATAATTTATTCAAAATTATTCTCTAAGTAGTTATATATGATTTATGTTGAATAAAAATAAAGAAAATTAATTTATTCTGATATAATTATTATATTACATACATGAAAATCTTGATTACATTCAGAATTATTGAATAGGCTGATTATTCAACTTATCTTTTATATTCTTAATAAAAAATTGCATTCTGATTTATAAATTAGGTTTTATTTCAAATTATATAATTAGTTATTTAATTGAATAAGTAATTGTTAATTTATTGCTTAACACTATCTCAATTTTATTATTTTTATATTGCTTTTATCCTGTTTCTAAAGTAAAAATAATTACGCATCAGCTATATTAAATGACTAATGGGAATAAGGATTGGGATCATTTTTCGTGATATATTCCTCTATTTTTATTTTCTAAATACCAAAATGTTAGACTTATATTGCCATTAGGGTTTATTGCTTACATTTCATCGATCGTTTGGGTATTAATAAACATTAATATTATAAATTATTTAATCATCAACTTTTTGTACGAATGATTGATCTACGAAATAATATTGCATTTGCGATAGTACTACATTCTAAAAGTAGAGGCAGTAAGCAAAATAAACTAAAAATAGCCCAAATATAATTATAGTCCCAAGAATCCAATATAAACCATGCTAAAATTACAGAACCAAGAGAATGTAATAATATTTCTAGATAAAATTAATGTTATTTTCTTACATATTAACATTGTTTTTTCAAAATTCATTGTCCATCCTGTGGCTAGAATTATCATTTCAACAGCTAGAAATATGACTGAGAGTGTGACACCAGCTTATAAGCTTTATTTAATAACAATGAAATTACGATGATTCAGCTAATTGATCATTTGGAAAATTGAGCAAATTTTCATACTAAAATTGCATAATTTTGATACCTAGGATTGATAAATAACAGATGTTATAATTAATTAGACCATTTGACTTACAAATTTTGCAGGGACAAGAATTTCGGCAGCCGACATTTTAATTTTAAATTTATATATTTTATTTAAGAGAAGGTAAAAATGATGTTGATATTGATAAATAACAATAGTAATCATTTAATATATAATAGGATATGATAGAAGATAGTAATAAACTTAATGCTCTAATTCATATATTAAAGAATAAATAATCGAATAACAAAAGTGAATTATCAAAAACTTGAACATTATAGTAGGTGAATTAATTTAGACATATGAAAAAACTAAAGAAAACCTATTTTGGATCCTCAAACTTTTAGAATCACAAAAACTATAGTATTACTAGTTTCATTGTTTAAGTGAAATAAGTTGTATAGAATTCTATTATCAATTAAGAGATTTTATGAAAAACAAAATTATCAGAATTAATAAAATGGAATATATATAACTAAATATTAATAAATATGAGATATAAGTTAAGAGACTTAAACATTAAAATAATCAACCTAATTTTTTGGTGTTTTAACAAAACCGCAAGTATTTAATAAGAAATTTTGAATATATCAACTCATTTCTAATTAGAACAAATATTCATTCTATTTTTAATTGTTCATATATTATTTTTCATTATTTTAAAATCAATATTTTTAACTTTTTAAACTAAACAATGTAATATACTATTTACTTATGAAAATCCATTATTATCTTTTGAAATTATGTAAAGAAATAAATGAAAAACTAATAGAATATAGTAAAAATTAATATTTTTAGAAAATGAGCTTTAAATATAAATATAATTTACATATTAGTGTGTATTAAAGATATATTTGTATTTATTCAATTTTTATGTTTTAGTAATTATTTAGCCTTGATATCATTTTTACAATAAATAATCAACTAGAATAATTAAATTAGAAACTATTTGAGTTTGATTCTCATTATAAATTCCCAAGTACTAATAAATAATTAGAATCTAAATTATTAATATATTGATAAAATATTAAAAATAATATCTAATTATATATGAAAATTAAGACATATTGATATGGACTGTCTATTGAAAATGATAGGGAATTTAAGAATAATTGAAAATTCAAATAATCGAGATTTATATGTTTAAATAAATTTTATGATTTAATATTTAAAAATACAAAATTTGTGATAAAAAAACAATGAGTTTATAAGAATAGCTTCTTAATGTGATCCATGGTGTGTTCTCATCAGATAATGCCACCAGATAAAAGGCAGAGGAATTACTAGCCTAATATAGAGATTCTTAGCCAAGTGAATTTGTCACTGCTATGCTCCATCTATGCAGACATGAAGAATTAAAAATCAGATAGTTTGCTCCAGTGTATTTGAGAAACTCACTGAGTAATTATTCTCCCAAGAGTCATAAAAATGTATGGAGCCTTCTTGCTCCTGAGACTTAGGAAATAGTTAAAGTGTCATTGTTCTAGTTGTTGGAACTTGAAACAAGTTCAAATGTGAGAAGTCAATTGTGTGACACTATTGGAGAACTTGGAGGATCACTCTTTGAAGATGAAACTAAAAATTCTTGGCCTAATCTCTTATAAACATTATGGTAATTGTTCTTGTCCCCAAAAAATGACTTGATTGAATGTGGATTCAAAATCTTGGCCAATCTTTTCACATATGCTATCGATCTATTCAATAAGCATTAAGCTGATCTTCACACATTATTTATCTAAGGACTAGCTAGTCCAGATTAAAAGATTAAAACAGCTACAATCTAAGCAATTGGTAATTATGTAACAACATCTGAACCCAAGTAATACAGAGTATTCTAAGATCTTATTCCAAATCTTATGTAATCTGCTTTGTCTGTTACAATCTAAGATTAAACCTTAGGTGAAGACATAATGGAAACTTTTTCTGAAATTGTAGATGCTGAACCAAAATTCTTTAGAAAGCAAATAAATGTATTTTTCAATGGAATTGCAGCTATTTTCAGGGAATCTTAAATTGAATAAGGATTAAAGAGAATTGGAACAGAAACATTAATAAGTTTAGCTGAAAAATTCCCAAGAGTATTTAAATAAGATAAATAATACTTGAGTTAATTGGTAGAAATGATCTTTTTCCATATGATCTAAATTAGTTAAACAGTAACTGAAGAATGGATGAAACCAGCAGAAGGATTTAATGATGATATATAATAAGATGAAGATTGTGAAACCACAAGATTTGGTATGTCTTCAATTGATAGACTAATCGAATCTATTGGTGACAAGGAAATGTTACCAGTCTTGAGTCCAATTGTTAATTAATTATTACAACATTAAGATTGGAGATACAAATATGCTGCCATTTTGGCATTATCATAAGTTGGTGAATATATTGAAGAAGTAGCTGAAGTCAAACCAATAATTGAATTAGTTTCTCCAATGTTGAGTGACTCAAATCCTATGATTAGATATGCAGTTTGTCATGCTATTGGTCAAATAGCTGATGATATGAAACCAAAATTCTAGGAAAGCTATTTACATCTTATAGTACCATAATTCTTAACCAGATTGTAAGTAGAAGATGTTCCAAGAGTTACATCACACATTTTGGCTGCTTTAACTAATTTTGTTGAAGGAACTGAAAAAGGAATCGAATCATACTTATAAAATCTTATCTAATTGACAATCTAATATTTGAATAATGGAATTTCAATCGTAAAGGAGAATGCAATGAGTGCTTTGGCTGCTACAGCTGAATCTAGTAAATAATAATTCCTTCCATATGTTAATGAGATTGTTCCATTATTATTTTAAGTGTTCTAAAATCATCAAAATAAGGAATATAGATAATTGAAAGGATAGACAATTGAAACCATAACCTTAATTGCTTCAGCTGTTGGTTAAGCTTCATTTTAACCATTTTTGGCTGAAACAGTTAGAATTTTGATATAAGTCCAAACAAGTTAATTAGAAGCTGTTGATCCATAAAAATCATATGTTCTATCTGGATGGTAAAGATTGGCTTTAGTTTGTCCATAATAAATTGCTATATATTTACCAGAAATCATTCCATCATTATTCTAATTAGTTTAATAAGTATTTAAAGTACATACAGGAACTGCAGATGAAGAATTCCATACTTATGATAATGAAGAAGCAGAAGTTGCTATTCATATGTTATCTGTATTTATTGAAGAATTGAAAGAATCATTCTTCCCTTACTTTGATTCATGCACTTAATTGATTGTACCACTTTGCAATTTCAATACTGATGAAAATATTAGAAGTGCTGCATGCAAATGTTTAGTCAGTCTTATTGAAAATGTTAAAGCTACAAACAATGTATAATAATTGGTTAATGGAGCTAAATACTTTTTAGGAATTATTTTAGAAGCTGCTGAAAAAGAATTTGATCCTATGGTCATCATTGAATAAGTTGATTGCATAAAAGAAATTATTGATATTGTTGGATAACCATTTATGACTACTGAAGAAGTTACTTAACTTTCAGATAAAGTATTTAAATTGTTATTGGAATCAGATAAAAGAAAAGCAGAAAATGAAAAGATGTCTAAAGAAGAAGATGTTGATGAAGATGAAAAGACAGTTATTAAAGAAGAAACTGAAACTGAAGAAGAACTCCATGTCAAAATTGCTGAATGCATTGGATCCATCTTTAAGACTCACAAAGATTAAGTCTAACCATTATATGATGTCATTTGCAATTAAATTTTACCCAAGGTCTTAGACCCAGCCTAATCTCCAAAAATGCATCAATTTGGTATTTTCCTTATTGATGATATGGTTGAATATTTGGGATATCCATATGTTTAAGCTAAACTAAACGATTTTGCTTAAGCTTTGACAATCTATGCTGTAGATAAGGTTTGCTTTGTGAGATAAGCTGCTGTCTATGGAATCGGTATCATGGCTCTTAATACACCAGAGGTATTAAATTAAAATATATTATTAGTAATTGTACATTAATGTTGCTCCCATGTTATCAAAGGCATTAGTTGATTCCTTAAAAGTTGATAAGAACTAAGATGATACAGAAAAATAACATGGACATGCAAGAGACAATTCAATTGCAGCTTTAGGAAAAATCATCAAATACTAATCAAAATCTTTAGGAGGTGATCTTGCCTAAGGAATTCAAACTTGGTTACATTTATTACCTCTCAAATATGATAAATAAGAAGCTCGTATTCAACATGAACAATTAGCAGAATTTGTTATTGCAGATTGTAATCAATTGATAAATGGAAAACCAGAAAATGCTTTACAAGTATTATATTAAATTAATAATTTAGATTCTCAAAGTATTTGCTAATTCTTACAAGACAAAGAGATCTAGTGAAGCAATTGATACAAAGATTTCAAGTGCCTTGAAAATATTTGAATAATCACAAGGACAAAATGTTTAAGCTATATTTGGAATGTTAAGTCAAGAAGAGTAGAAGAAACTCTTGGAAGTATAAAAGTGATCAGTATTGTGTATTCTAACTCATAAATTTAAAAATTTATCAAAAAAGTTTCAAACTTATGAATTATTCTATTTTCTCGATGATAAGAATATCTTCTGTAGTAAATTATAAATATTCTATTTATTATTTTAATTTACAATGATTGTATATTTATATTAAGAAATATATATTATTTTCATAATTTCATTTTCTTTTATTAAATTTATCTTCTCCTCATATTAATTCCATCACTTGCATAATCATAAATCTATTTCTTAAAACTCCAATTAATCCAAACTATTTTGAAGATTTCAATTTATTATCCATAAAATTAATCAATTTTTCAATGTTTTAATAATTGTAATATTTACATAGTCTTGAATTGATTACTTATAAAATGGGTAATCATATGTTAATTAATATGTTCCGAAAATATCCAAAAAAAGTGAGATTGTCTTGAAAAATTAATGGCTTAATTCTAAAAATAAATTTTGATCATTTTGATTTAGATTATTTTTATATGTCTAAAATACTAAATCAAATTATAAGTTCAATGGTTTAATAGAATTGTCCCTTTCATTTAGAATGTCATCAATCTCTAAATTAGATCCATCACATTGATATCTTTTTGATCCGCTGACAATAAATTATCCAAATTAAACATTAAATTCACATATATAAATAAAATCAAAGTTTCTGAAATATTTATTACCAAAAAATTCGAGAACCAGGTCTACACTTTTCTCCTAGATTAATAGTATTAGCACGAGATCGTGTAATCTCTTCTGTTTTTAATATTTTCTCTGTACTATTTATACTTTTTATAGTAGATAACATTTTAGCTTTGGTAGGAGCTGATATAGATCTAGTTCTATTTTCTAGTTTTTCATCAGGAGCAGCAACTCGTTTAAGTTTTTTAACAGAAAACAAAGGAGCTTCTGGTGTTAAATTAATGAATTCAAAATTTTGTTTCTTTTATATTCTTTTATTTTATTAAACAATGAAGTCTTCTCTACTTATTTTTGTTTAGGAAGGTGAATCTCTATCAGGAGAAACATCTTACAATTCTAATCTTCTTCGCTTTAATTAAATGATCTTCTTCAAGATTAATTAATCCTTTTAATGTTACGTTTCAAGACTCTAATGCAAATAATCTTGTTTTTTTAAATCTATGTATATAGCTTCCGGTATTAATAGTATTTTACTGTAATGAACATTACTTTTGGCTGTTGTCTGATAAGGTTTTTCAAGCAATGCTTCAATTTCCTAAAATTTAAATGATTTTCATACTCCAACTAAAGAGCCAGCAGACTTTATTAGCAAAGTTCTATTCTTTGCCATACATGTAGAAGCAAACATATTATTTTTAGGTTTTCTTCGTTCAATTTATGTTTCTTCTAATCTTACTTCACCTTCTATAATATAATAAACATGAGTTGGTATTTGATTCTAACTAAATAGCATTTAATTCAAATGATAGGTTGTTAAAATTACTTTATCTAAGTGGAGTTTTATCCATTTTCTATTAAATTAGTCAAATATTAATCACATTCTAGCATCTGGAAATAATTAACACAAAATTTGCTATTTTTGAAGGTTTTCATAAGATTCAATTTTGTTTTTTAATATTTGTATGGCTCCTTAGTGATTTCTTTGCAGTCTCATTATAAAATTAAATATTATATAACTAATATATCTTTGAATTTCTAACTTCAGATCAGGAACCTATATAGTTTAACTATTCAAAATAAAAAATATTAATCTCAATAAGTAAGTATTAATAATAATGAGTCAACTATTTTAATACTTTATAATTTTGTTCATCTCTTTACTTAGTTTCATTTTTTTTATTTTATCCAAATTTCAAAAGTAGTAGATTATTAAAGAGAATCAAATTTTAATTAGCTATTGAGTAAGATTTCTACCTCCTTTAATTGATTTTTGGCTATTTTATAATCTGAGAAAAGATATCAAGACTAAAAAGAATAATAATACAGTAATAATTTACTAACTAATTATATGTATTTTATTAATTAGTAATAACTTTAAAATAATTTATAGCTATGCTTTTCTATATTAAATTAATAGGTATTGAGTAATTAGTTAGATAGTAATTAATATATTTGATACACATATATTAATGTTCTTGAAAAAACTAAATAACTTTTCATTTGAATCTTATAGAAGTTCTATCTGATTTTAATTTATATAAAAAAACACATGTTTCTAGAAGATCAAATGATATATTAACAATATCCTCAAAAAGTCTAATTATTAAACAATTTGTTCTAAAGAGATATACACACATTAATAAATTTAATTTAAGAGTATTCTTGGATAATTTAATTAAGTTCTATTACTTTTTGATAGTAATTATAATATGATTTCTCATTCATATTAATTTCATTATTTTTAATATAGTTTTATCCTCTAACTGATAAATATATTCTTCATATTATATTCAAAAATATATAAGAATAAGGAAATTAGAAATTTATTCATTAAGTATATCTCTATTGTATATGTAATATTTCTTTTAAATAAAATATTATCTATATTGTTATTAAAATAAATTATGTTCATTAATTCTATATGATGATTAGAAGTTCAATACTTTTATAAAGCTTCAATAAACTTATAATTTTTATAAGTATTCTAATATTTATTAATGATAATAATATACATTAATAATTTATATAATTTATAGAATGGGAGGGGGTTCTAGTAAGGAAGATGAAAATCAAGTTAATCTCGATTAGTATTTACAAAGTGCTGAATATCAACAAAAACTAAATGCTGTTTATTCAGGATAAACTACTCAATAATAGGCATTACATGTACCATAATAATTGGATGATGATGATGATTACATAAATGATGGTTATTAAGGGGTATAAATAAAAGTAAAGCCAAAAATTGCTACAATTTAATCAACAACTCTAAGTGCTTAAAAAAATGATGTCTATATAATTAAGACTTCATTTAAATTTGTAATAATAATTACTAATATTAGATTTAAGTAGGTGAGACAGCATATTAATTAACATTTTAATATACTTGTCCAGAATAAACCTAGATAGATGTATGGTTTTTGGGATAAGAGAAATAGAGAACAGGAGAAATTATATCTCTCTATGGAAATACTTAATTATAAAAATAAATATAAGGTTTCTATGTTTAAAAGGGAGAAAACTAAGAATTTTCATAAAACAGAGTGATATTAGACTTAAAATAAACAAAGATAGAATCTATGAGACAATATTAAATGAAATAAGATGAATTTTCATTTCCTTTGATTGTAAAAATTGTAAGAATTTGATATATAATATAGTCAAAACTTAATGTTGATCATTCATTTACTTATTATTGCACTGTTGAAAAGAATTAAAATCAATTAATTGCATAATGTTTAGGGAGCAAATTAAGAGTAATAAATAATTTTATCATGTAAGATAAATGGTTAAGAGTTCTTAACAAAAGATGTTTATGGAATGAATGATAGTGTTTTAGGAAAGAAAGATGATACGTATATAATATAATATATTTATAGAGAAAAGGAACCTTGTAGAATTTGCTTAACCAATATTATTGATACAATGATTTAACCATGCTAACATGTTATTTTATGTTAAGAATGTTGTTAGAATTTAAGAATGACAGGTCAAAGATGTCCTATATGTAGATCAGGTAGATAATATTTATTTTTTAGAGATTAAGGAGTTTATTATTATAACAAAAGGAAATTGAAATATTATAAATATTTTTATTATAAAATGACTGAGTTTAAAGAAGTATACTCATAATGTATTTAGGATAAATTCTTTAATAAATCTGGAGATTCTGAAGATTCAGCTGACAAATTAAGAAAGAAAATTCAAAAATCTAAACATTAAGGGGGTATTACAACATCTTCTAAGATTCGAGAAATGTTTAAAAAGTAACAGTTCAAAGAGATTGTTAATTGGGCTGAAAAAGATTCTTCAAATACAATTATTCATGAATATGATGAGATTAAGGTGAATTCACAAACTCTGTAAGTAGGATAAAATGCATTAATTAAAAATGCCAACAATCCATCTGAAGATTATGTAGGGAAAATATAGAGAATAATTACAATAAATGAAAATAAATCATCAAAACTTATTTGTCTATGTGAAGTTAGATGGTATCCACGATAGTCAATAATAGGTTTTATCGTAAAAGTGAAGTGATTAAATTTAGACCTTAGGCTAAGAGTTGGATATCAAACAGTGAAGTCTTTAGTACTACTTGTACAGATTATATATTGGCATCAGCCATTTTATCTCCTTGCATCATATACTCTTTAGAAGAATATGAAAGTGCGTAAACTTTGGATAAATGCACATTTTTTACAAGATTAGGATGGATACCAAGTAAAAATAGATTTGAGGGTTTTATGAAATTATAGAATCATTGCACATGTAAATAACCATTAAATCCTGATTTGCCTTCAATTTAAGTATTGAATCCAAAATATTTAGTGTGATAAATGTCAGAAATGGTATCATATGAATTGTGTTGGCGTTACTAAAGCAGATTATGATTAAAAAGACTATATCTGTGGATGTTGTAGATGAAATATAATTGTAAAAAAAAAAGCTTAAAATTTTTTAACATTTTGACTCTTTCCATATTATTTATTCTAATAATTTATGATATTCTCTATTACTTTTAATATTAAAATTAAATAATATTGTTATTTAAGATTATCTAATTGAAGTTGAAAATTAAATTGGATAAAGATAAATAAAGAATCTATACAATAAATAAGATTAAATATTTATGATCAAGTAGCATATTGGAGTATATTATTAATAATAAAGTAGATTAATTAAATATTGGATCTCTTATTTATTATTATGATCTTCATAAATATTAGAATTAAATGAATTCTTATCTCAAACAGAAGTATATTAATAGGGAATACTCATATATTGATAAACATTTCTTGATTATTCATTTAAGACTGTATTTTCTGAATTATTATCATTTTTATTAGAACTCTAATAAAGAGAATAAGTTTAAGCAAATTTTCTGTGTTAACAAAATAAGTCAAAAGGAAAAATTATACAATCAAATTCTTAATTGAAAATATTTATATTAGTTTAAGATGAAAATTAAGGAATTTCTTTTAAATTACTCTTTTTAAGAAAGATAGCTATATATATTAATTATTCAGATCATTAATATACATTAATTATTAAATTTATTTAATTTTCTACATATATTACTTATCACAAAGATTGTAATTTATTTGAGAATTCTTTTAATCATATTTTTTAGGAGATATATTTATAAGATTGTTATAAAACAATTTAAGTAAAATTTTAGAGAGTCTTCTTTTATTCAATAATTTTTAATATTATTAAAGTTGCATATTATGAATTATGTGATAAATAAAAGATTTATAATTAGAATTATTCAAAAATAATAGTCATGATACCTTAATAATTCTGTATATAATTGAATGGTTTGAAATACTTAAATAAAATGAATTAACATAATATATTTAATCCTATAGGTTCTTCTTTTTTTACATTATATTATATATTTCAATATATTTTATGGTTTAAATTATAAGGATAAAAACTTTATTGGTTAAAAATGATTAAATTTATTGTAAATTTTTTTGATATAGAGTTCAGATATAAATAAATTATTATTTATAGTAATAAGGGAATAATCATGTAGAATATTTTGAAGAGATTTTTAGAAACATAATAATCATTTCTTTAGTGATTGAATCATTTAGTTATTCTTTATTCAATATATTACTATCTTTAGGTATTAATTTTCTTAAAGTAAAAACTTTTCTTGGATATTTATAGTTTTCAAGATCTCTACATGATTTAGTTTTATTAAATGATAATTGTTCTAATCGATCATACACGAATTAATATGAATTATACAATAAACTAATTTATTTGCTCATAAATTTATTTGCAAATAATGGCATTTAAGATTTCTTTTTATTCTTAGAAAATATCCTATCAATTGTTAAAGTTTAGATCTATTGAATAGGATAAAATAAAGTATAAGTAAATGTATACAAAATTATACAAATAAAAAGAAATAGACCTAACAATATGGAAATTTGAATTCCCACTTAATTTAATAGATTATATTCAAGTTCTTCTTAGAAATGTTAATAAAACTAAAAATACTCTTAACTACTTAATAACCTAAAGATAGCAAGATATATTTTTTACATAATTAATTTCATTGAATATTCAGGAATTTCTTAGATTCCTATTATCATTTCTTGTTAATATAAACTATTATATAGACAATTCAATGATGATGAATGTTTATTCAAATATGGACATGTTGATACATCATTTTATGATTATGTATTCATCCTTTACCAATCACTTTGATTAAATCCTGTAATAGATTAATTATATATGTATAAAGGTAGTTAATCAACACTTACTTTATATGGATGCATAATCATAATTCCAGATGCTGATACAAGATAAATAACTTAAAATCCAAATTCTTAAGATTTAAGTATTTAAACAATTTCTGCTCCTAAGAAATTTGTTCCTACACCTCCAATTAATTATAAATTTTCATCAACTATTGGTAACACCAAAGATAATCCTATTTTTTTATCTGTAAATACTACAATTATATTATTATAAAAGTATTACACAAATAAGGTTAAGTGAAGGATCTTGAATATTCATTATAAGGTTTTTTGTGATTATAGTTATTTCTGACTTCAATAAACCATTCTCGTTTTTCAGGATCATAAGAATAGATTCCTTATCCTCTATTAAGACATGGATAAACTGCATTAGTTTTTTCATTGATTATGTATGAATATAAGAATGATTAACTCAATATATTCCCCTAATAAAGAATTTATGCATATGATTGAATCTACTCTTATATTTTCATTCCTATAAGCTCATCTAAACTTAATGGATCTTCAAATGTAGTTATGTTAGAATAACACATAAAAGAATATGAGATATCAGAATTACCATATCCTTTAATAATTCTAATGGGATCTGGTATTTTATTTACACCTCCATATAGCATTTAGTAATCTACATTTAATTCTAAAGAGTGCTGTTTTACTTATTTTTTTGTCATATGATACAATCTATGAAAGGAGATAAGACTATTTCCATCTATAATATGAATTTGATTTACTTAAATAAAAGACTCTATCAAAATATTCTTAATATAATCTAATAGTTTTCTCTTATATTTTAGATGAAGTGTCATCAAATATTTTATTAGAAATCTAAGAAAAATACTGTTTAAGCAAAGAATAATGAATCAAATTTACTGAAAGAACATACGAGACTATCAAAAGGATAATCAATGAAACCAATATTATCAATTAAGTCCTCAATTTCAAATTATTCAAACAGGAAGTAAAAAATCGTTGTTGCTTCTACATTTCACTAATTAAAACAAATTATTTATATTAAATTAACTTAATTAATAATAACAGACTACTTCTTAAACAAATGATTTAATTAAATATGATAATATTTATTATTATAATACTAATAATATATTATGTTTAATTTATTTTAATACCCACAAATTTATATTTTATAAATTAGAATAATTGTATTTAATATAATACTTAAAGATTCAATATAGAAGGAACTTAGTATTTTATTATTTGAGAACTCTTTTCATAATGGTAATTGTAGTATTTTCAAATTCTTTATCTTTATTAAAATCTTTTAAATATTCAAATCTTAAAGCTTAGAATTATTTGATTTATTCAATATTTTATTTAAAATTAGATTGAGTAATAGGGAATTATTTAGTTGGATATTTAATATCTTCAAATTATTTACATTAACTTGTTTTTATTAATGATAATGATTCCAATTTATTTATTACAATCTTATAAGTTTGAACTAATGAAAATATTTCATCACTCATTAAAACTTCTGCAAATTCTGATATTTATTATTTATTTCTTCTTTATTAAATAATTAGATTTATTGCTTATTATTTAATCATTTCTATTGGATGAAATAATATTTATGTAATCACTACAATCATTAAACAAAGAACAACAAATGATCCAAATAACCATATGATATTATTACTAGTTGTTTCTTTTAAGCTTTTTTCTATAGTTGATTAAAAATCATCATAAAATTTTAAGTATTCTGAACTACTCAGTAACCTATTATTATATTAAATATCATAACTTACATTATGAGTTTCATTTTGAATTCTGGAATTTCACGTGTACCAATTATCATTTCTTATTTATAATAAGAATTGTATCTACATTTAAGAAGTGAAGACATTTTATCAAATATAGGACAAGTGGAATCTTAATTTAAATTTAAGATATATTCCCAATCTGTCAAATTGAATCCAGTTATACTTTCATTGTAAATATAAAGTGGTAATTATTCTACTGTTACTTTATAGGGATGCATTATCATAACACCTTTTTCTGATACAAGATAAATTATTTAAAATCCAAATTAATTAACTTTCATCATTTCAACTATTTATGAACCTAAAAAATTAGAGACAACTCCTCCAATTAAACTTAAATTTCTATCAACTATTGGAAGTGTCATAGATAGTCCAATCTTTTTATCTGTATATACTATTTAAATTGATCTAAAATTTGTTACATAAATATGGTTAAGTAAATGTGTAATTATATTTATCATATGGTGATTTACTTTCATAGTTTCTTTTCAATTCAATATACCAATCTCTTTTTTCAGCCACATATGTATATATAGCTTTATCTCTATTTAAACAAGGATAAATGGAATTTATTTTCTCCTTAATAATATATGAATATAAAAATGATTGGTTTATTAAATTTCCCTAATAAAATATTTATGCTGCTGCTTAAATCTACTCTTATAATTTAATGCCTAATTCTTCTTCTATTGTTTTTGGTTAATTATATGAAGAAAGATTTGAGTAACACATAAATGAATAGGAAATATCATAATTACCATATCCTTTAATAATTCTTAAGGGATCTGGAATTTTAGTTGTTCCTCCATATTACATTTAATAAAGTGGATTTATTTCGAGAGGATGGAGTAGCACTTGATTTTTAGTGATATGATATAATCGATGGAATGAAACCAAAGCATTGCCATCTGAAATGTAATAAAATATTTACTTAAATTAAATACTTGATTAAAATGCTAAATGTATTCTTCCATCATATTAGATAAAACATGATTTGAATTATCTTCAAACATATAATCTGATACTTCTGACAAATAATTTATGAGTAGAGAATGATGAATTAAATTTAGTGCAAGAACATAAGACACAATAATTAACACCTGTATCGAGACTATAATAATTAATTGCGTGCTTAATTTTAATTTTCCAATACATTTTGATGCAAAATGCCTATTTTATTTCATTTTTTTTTAAATTACTTAATAATATTGCACATAAATTAACAAAAGGTTTAATTTAGTTAAATTATTGTTATTTCCTTAATTTTTTATATACCAAGAATAATCACTAGAAAAATGCACTTTATTAATATATGTTATAAAAATCAACTAAATAAATTCAATTTTATTTTTTTTTATTTTTTAGAATATCAATAAATACTAAAGTTTAGTTTGATATAATTGTCTAATAATTTATTTTACATTCAGTTCCATAAGTATTTTTAAAACAAATATAAACTAAATGAGAAAAATTAATTAATATTAAAAAGATTCAGGAATAATTGGTATAGTTCAAAATTAATAATAAATATCTAATAAATTGATAATATTATTACCTTTCATTAGAATTAATTTATTATAAAATATATTAAATTTAGAATAGGATGAGAAATCTTTCAAATATTTTAATATTTACATGTCCAATTTGGAATTTGTTTGAAAATCACATAATATTATATGTAGATTAGCAATTTAATCTATACAATTTGTTATTTTGATTTTAGCAGGTAATTCTTCATCAATTCTTCTTTAAATTTGATTAACTTATTGAAAATGATTGAATTGATATTCTATATAGATTTTGAGTAATGGGGAATAGTAAGGTGATATGATGATAACGGTAGGAATGTAAATAAAAATTTCATACAATATATACTAATTTTTAATATAATTATGGAAATAAATAAATAGATATTAGCAGAATTCAAGGTTATAAAAGAAAATTTTAATTTAAGAAATATTGTTTATAAAGAAATTCTCTTATATGAATTAGGAGTAATCCAGAGTAAGCTTAAAAGCTCCATTGTTAAATTAAAATGAAGAAGATACTATTAAATTAGTTAATAAGTCAAGAAGAAATAGAGCAGGTATAATATCACAATTATTATTTACTTGGGTTTATGGTACCATAGATGTAAATTTGAATATTTATAATAGATTGCATCTAAAGTAACTTTAGAGAATGATATGATTGAGGATCTTAGATTTTAAGATACTAGTGAATAATTGTATTATAGATTCTTGAAATAATTTGATAAGAGGAAAAGCAAGAAAAATGGATTGTTATTTTCATTAATTGGTGTATCTTTAGGATAATGTATGTTTGTGTTCATAGTGATGTTATTTAATGTAGGGACATCACTATTAAATCCATTATTAATAAAATGGATTATAGAATATTTGATGAAGGAAGAAAAAGAGACTTAGGAAGGGATAATTCTTATTTTTAGTATCATAGGAATTAGAATAATATCAGTTATCTGTTAACAACATTCTTTTTATTAGATAGTAATAATATCTATATATTGTAGAGATTAGTTGGATATGATTGGATGAGCATACTATCTATGGCATTATTGGGGAAGAGTATGAATGTTTCATATCAGAGTAATAAAGAACATACAAGTGGATAAATCTTAAATTATATGTAAGTGGATACAATGAAGTTATAATGGTTTGGATGGTATCTGTCATAAATTATGTTAATGCCATTATAAATAGGCATTTCTATTTATATGATGTTTAAATTTATAGGAATAGCATTTTTGGGTGGATTGGGAGTAATCATATTGACTGCAATTTTTAATATTTATGTAGGTAAGATAATAATGGATTATTAAATTATGATGATGAAAAACAAAGACTTGAGAACAAATTGTGCAAATGAAATCTTTTAATAAATCAAATTTATCAAGGTTAATGCTTATGAAGAATATTTTAGATTAAAATTAACTAAACTAAGAAACTAAGAAATTAAAACTATAAAAACTAGATTCTTTGCAGCTTGTTTGACCATATTATCACTTTGGTTGAGTCCTATGTTGATTTTAAATGCAACCTTTTTAATTTATGTTGCAATAGGAAATGATCTTACTCCTGCTAATACATTTGCTATTATTAGTTTATTTTAGAGTCTTCAAGGTCCTCTTTTATTTTTGCCTATGGCTATAAATGCATTAATAGAAACGAATATTTCCTTCAAAAGAATCTAAAGATTTCTATTGACAAATGAATTAATGAATGATTGCATAACAAATTCTAGTTAATTATAAAAAAAAGGATTGAATGTTAATGATTCCACAACTTAAGTGATGAGAACATAAATTGATAATGATTTTGCAATCAAAATTGAAAATGGAACATTTTATTGGTCATCATATAAAGATTAACCATAATAAGAAAATAATACTCTTACAAATAAAAATTAAAAAATTGATCCATTAGTTGAGTCTGAACCTATTTTAAAGAATATCAATATAAGAATTGAAAAAGGATAATTTGTATCCATTGTAGGAGATGTAGGTTCTGGAAAATCATCATTAATCTAAGCTATGTTGGGTGAAATGATTTATAAAGAAGATAAACCAAGAATCTAAATAAATGGATCATTTGCTTATGTTAGTTAAAAAGCTTGGATCTAAAATGCTACTGTCAAAGAAAACATTCTTTTTGGATTACCCTTTGATTAAACTAAATATGATGAAGCTATTAAATTCTCTTGTCTAAAAGAAGATATCAAGATTTTAGTCAAAAGAGATCAAACTATGATTGGTGAAAAAGGTGTAAATTTGTCAGGAGGACAAAAAGCAAGAGTCTCTTTAGCTAGAGCTATTTATAGCAATTGCGATATTTATTTATTAGATGATCCAATTAGTGCAGTTGATGTACATGTTGCCAAATTTATAATTTATGAATGTTTGAATGGCTATTTAAAGGAAAAAACTAGAATTTTGGTTACTCATGCTCTTAATTGTTGCTAATATACTGATTATGTTTATTTAATGGAAAATGGTACCATTGTTGAATAAGGCACATTTGCTGATATTAAATAAAATCAGTAATTTAAGAATATCTATTAGAAATTTTACAAGGATGCTAAAAATGATGAGGAATCTCAAGAATAATTAAATGATGTTGAATAAGTTCCTATTTCAGAATTAATATTAGAGAAAAAGTAATCATCTTAAAAAGATACTCTTGCTATACCTTAAAATAAAGATGAGATTGATGAACTTATGTTATTAGAAGATAGGAATAAAGGTTCTATATCTTTTGAAATCTTAGCTACTTATATTCGAATGACTGGAGGTGTACTTTTTGCTATTTTCATGATTTTTATGTTGCTCTTATGGGATGCATGTTATATAGGTTCATCATTATGGATGGCTCATTGGACTTAATAAGCTAGTGAAGATTTAATCAATGGAGAAGATACTAATAACTATTTCTATCTTACAATATTTTCTGTACTCTCTTTAAGTTATGGAATCTTGGCATTTCTTAGATAATGGGTTTTTGTGATAGTCAGTTGTAATTAAGCAAATAATATACATAATAAAATGATAAGTTGTTTAATGTATGCACCATAATGTCAATTCTTTGAAAGAGTTCCATTGGGTAGAATTATGAACAGATTAACAAAAGATTAAAATGTTTTAGATTCAGAACTTCATTGGACATTTAATTGGATGTTAGTTCAAGTATTTCTATTATTGGCTAATACTTTCTTAAATATCTATACAAGTTCCCCTTGGGTTGCCATTCCTATGGTAATCTACTTTTTCTTATGTTGTAAAACTTATATAATATACATGACTGCTAGTAGAGAACTATTTAGATTAGAAGCAATCAGCAAAAGTCCGATTTTGAGTTATTTCTCTGAATCAATCATGGGAATCAGTACAATAAGAGCTTTTTAGAGATAATCTTAAATTATGAATAAGCATGGAAATAATCAAGATATAAATCGTAAGATATTCTTAGAACAAATAGCTGCAAATGCTTGGTTTGGATTAATTCTTGGTTTATCAAGTTTTATGGTTAATACTACTGCTATTGCATTTTGTATGTTTTATAGTACAAATAATCCTGCATTTGCTGGTTTATTAATGACATATGCATCCACTTTGGATTAAAATATTAATGGAACAGTTTAATGTTTAGGATAGGTGGAGAATGGGTTGATATCATTTGAAAGATGTGTTGCTTATACTAAGTATCTAAATAATTATTAATTAATTTTAGAGTTAAACCAGAAAAAGGATATGAAGCTGCAGTTAAAAGATATCAAAATAATTAGAATTATAGAGATCAATATATACCATAATGGCCAAAAAATGGAATTATAGAATATAAAAATTATTCAGTTTAATATAGGGAAGGATTACCTTTAGCATTAAAAAAAATGAGTATTATAATAAATCCTAGAGAAAAGATTGGTATTGTAGGTAGAACAGGAGCTGGAAAATCAACAATTACATTAACTATTTTAAGAATCTTAGAAGCAATAAATGGATAATTATTGATTGATGGTCATGATATATCTACAATTTCATTAAGATAACTTAGAGAATCAATTACTATGATTATGCAAGATCCCACATTATTCAGTGGTACTATTAGAGATAATATTGATCCATTAAATTTAAGAACTGATGAAGAAGTTATGTAAGCTATTAATAAATGTTGTTTGACTGAATTAATTGAATCAAGAAAAGGATTAGAAACTCATATCAATGATCATGGAGATAATTTGAGTGCTGGAGAGAAATAACTTGTTTGTATTGCTAGAGCTGTTCTTAAGAAAAGTCCTATTGTTTTAATAGATGAAGCAACTGCCAATATAGATATTGATACAGAACATAAGATTCAAGATACAATTTAAAATGCTTTTGCTGATTGCACTGTTATTACAATTGCTCATAGAATTAATACCATACTTCATTGTGATAAGTATATATTTATTATCTATTTTTATAAGGATTCTTGTTCTAGATAAAGGAGAAGTAAAGGAATTTGGACTTACTAAAGAATTATTAAATTAAACCAACTCCTTATTCTATGGAATATATTAGGAAACTTTAAAAGAGTAAAATCATTGATAATATTTCATTATATATTATTAAATTATGTACATTTAATTAATAAAGTATTCGATTATCATTTTTTTTATTTATAATATTTTATTTATTAAATTTTAAATCTAACAATAATGTATTATAATACACCCATCACTCCAACTAAACCCTCTTAATCCAAATATTAATATTACCACCTTCCATACAATCTGAATTAATCTCCTTATTATTTCGATCAATATGCAACATATGCATTTTGTAATACTTTTCCTTATTCCAATTAGAAACTCAACACAATCAACACCTAAATCATAATTCAAAAAGTAGTGTAGATGAGCAATAAGATAACCAAAATATGAAAAATGATTAGTTTAATAGTCCTGCCACACTCATTAAAGCAAACATCATTAATAATAGAACCATGATTTTTACTAATTATTTATAACTTGATTATGCAATGATTTTTGAAGAATAACTAAAAATTATTAATAATCATTAAGATTACATTAAAAAATTATGTTCACTTAGATTAGAGATACCAAATATTCAAGTCATACTAATTAATCTAACTTAATTGAAATATGATATTTTATAATCATAACATACATAAGATAAATATATATATGATACTATTATTAAACCTAAAACTTAATAAATGATTTATTAATCAATATCACTTTAAAAGAATTTAGAAAGTTTATTAAATTTGTAAGAATAACCTAAGAACCCTTGTTTTTAGAATTAGAATAATATAGATTAAGTAATAAAAAATAGATTTGAAGATTAAATATAAATATTACAATAAGAGCTGAATTAACATGAAGAATTAGCAACTAGTATGTTGACATCTATTAAACATTATCAAGCATAATTTGAATTTCTAAAAGATGAGAAAGTAATTAAATAATAATAAGAATTATGGGAAAAGGAAAAGAATTAAATTTTAGAATATTTGACTAATAAATTATCATAATCCATTTTAAATTTAATTCATACTCATTAATAGGAAATGTTTAAAATAACATAAGATGAAGTTTATCCTATTGTTCATTCAAAAGGAGGAGTTGTTTATTTTTATGAAATTCTTTCTATTATAGATGGATAATTATATTCAAATGAATAAATTAAAATATAGATTCAAAATTATGAATAATAAATAATATAATTAAAGGTTAATTATCATGAATTTGATGAATTTTATAACAAAATTAAAACTATTTATACTGAAATTGTTTCATTGTCTAAAAAAGTCAAATAAATTAATTGTACTTAAGTATAACCATTATTACAATAGTATTAAATGAGTTAAAGAAGAAAATGTTAAAAAAGAATGGATAAATTAGAAGAAGAGATTAAATAATTATTCTTTTAAGGTTAGCTTATAGAGAAATTTAATATAAAAGTTAAAATAAAAAATTTTGAATCTTTTAATTTTGAATAGCAAATCTAGAATATTGAATAATTAATTTAAGAATTTGAGAACAATTATATTAGATAATAATTTTAAGTTCCATTTAGTAAAATTAAATAATTGTCATAAATGATTATTAAGTAAATTTATTATTATTATATATTAAAGATTTGAAGAGGATCATTATAATGCTAATTAGATATTTTTAGAAATTAAAAGATTGCTTAAATCTGTTACATTTATAGGATATACATCATATTTAAATGAAACATTCAATAATAAATATATATAAGCATTGCAAAAGATATCTTTAAAGAAGGGACATTTATTAAGTTTCAAATTTTGTAATTAAGAGATTCTAAATAAAATTAATAATTTATTAGATTTTTAATTTCCTTATTTTGACTGGAACGAGAAATTAGATTTAGAAAAAGATAGGATATATCTTATTTAAGAATAGTTTATTTGGGCTTAAGAAACAGTGATTGAATTGAGTTAAATAAAAGAATTATCTAATGAGATAAAAATAATGAAATAATTACTTAATTTAGATAATGAATTGGACAAAAGTTTAACAATAATTGAAAAGTATTTAGAATTAAAGGATAAATTAGGAAATGAAAGAATTGATTTAATTAGTTGGCCAAAATAATAATTAGAATTAGTAAATGAGTCTAGTTAATTTTGCAATCATATATTATAATAAATAAATGATAGAATTAAGGCAATATAACAATTAAATGAAATATAATTACTTGCAAGATTAGATAAAATATTTTCTGATTTTAATGAGTAAAACTAATAATAATTATTATAAATATCTAAAGAACTTAAAAATAAAGAATTTTCATTAATAATTAAACCCTAAATTTAAATAGTTTAATAATTTATTAATGTTTGTTTACAACATTTTGATGATGAAATAGACAAAAAGTTTTGTTAGACTAAAACTTATTAAGAATTAGAAGATGAATTAGGTGGAATTACTAAGTTTAATGAATTAAGACATATTAATGAATAAAATAAATATAATGAAGAATTAAGAAATTTACTTTATGATTAAGTGAGTAATTTTATGAAATAAAAGCTTAAAAGTGATTTTTCAAATTTGTTTTAATTGAAAGTAATATAAAGTTAAGGTGGAACTAATAATTATGATCCATATAAATTGTAATTAAGAACTGATATACTATATCCTATATATAGACCAGATATCAATTAAAATTAATATTGTATTTAAGAAAAAGTTAAGATTGATAATATTATAGATTAACCAGAATTAAGACAATTATTTTAAGAATTTCGATCATTTTTAAATCAATGTACAATAATTATGAAAAACAATAATAATGATAATTTAAATGATCAAGAATTAATTATATAATTAATTGAAGCTTTTGAAAATTCATGGAGTCTTAATATTCACTTAACAGATCTTTAGTCTATGAAATAGTTTCATTGTAATTTAAAATAGTGGCCAGAAATTAAATAATTTGAATAATAATTATTACCTTTAGGTATAGTATTAAAAGATGAATATTCAAGATATTTAGATGCATGTAGATAAAAAATAATATCATTAACAACTTCAAGGATAATAAGTATTATAGTAGATCCAAATTAGGAAAACTTAATATAAGATATGATTAAATTCAATTTTAATGGAAAAGTTTGTTGTCTTCATGAATTATCCTTAAATTACTTTTATAGAGATTTTTTATCAATAATAGTAGAATCATTAGAAGGTAATCTTAAATTATTAAGTAATCATATTGTATTAATTAATGGAAAATAATTATAATATAATGATCAAATTTTATTATGATTATTATTATTTCAAATATAAATAACTTAAGAATTATTAAATACTATTACATTAAATATATTATTTCTTTATTATATTCCTTATATTATTTCTCAATCCTATTTTTGTTTTTAACAATATTCTAATATATATATCTTTAAGTTTCTTTAATAATAATTACATATATATATGATTTCTTATTTATTTAATTGATAACAATAAGAGAAAAAGAATAGATCTTCAAAATAATTAGTATATATTATAAATAATATGTAAATATAATGCAGAAATGTATTTTTATTAAATCAAATATGTTCAATTACCATAATTATATTACGCACTTCTCCAAAATGAAAGAAGTGTTCTATCTATGTTTTGATTATTAATATTAATTATGAATCCTCTTCATAAAATATATTTGTAAGCCTTGATTACTCAATAGCAATAAGAATCTTCTTAATAAGTAAAGCAAGAAGAGAATAGTTAGAAATAAAATATACAAGTATTTGAAATATCAATATATATTTAGTTTTTACAAAAGCAATAACTAATGTAGATAATTCAACAATGTTAAACCTAATACTAACCAATTTAACAAGTTTCGTAAGAATTTTAAAATATATTAAAAAAAGCAAGCCTCCAACTTTAATTGAGGTTTAAAATTAGGTTACGTCTTACTTCTAGAAAATTATTCTGTAGAAACAAATTATCAATTTAACAAATGTTTTAGAAGTTCAATTACCATATTTTATGATAATCATGAGTAATCTCATAATATACGGATTGGAAAATTGTTCTGCAGATAAAGAAATCGTAGCAGATTTATTGTCATAGTATAAAGCCAATCCATTAAAGATATCAATGAGTTGTTCTCTGTTCTAAACAATAGCTCTACTATTCCGATCTGAACTCATTAATTACGATCAAAGTTCTAGATTATTATTATAAAAGGTACAAAATATCTTGCCAATTTTTTACTATTCAGAGATGATTTTTGTGACATCTTTTTTAATGCACTCTATTGTTATCAAATATCATAAGGTTAAACAGTAAGTCAGCAAATTGGATTTACTTAAATACATTAAATTATAAACAAGTAACAAGATGATGTATGGACAACATTCACATTTAAATTGTTAAGTTAATAACAATAAAAGTTAAATAAAGATCAATTTTTATTATAATTTAATAGATATACTCAATCATTGAATAATTTTTTTACTAAAAGTAATTTAATAATGGATTTAGTTGCATAAAGTGTTAAATAAACAGCTAAATTACATAATGATTAAATATTTTAAGAAGTATAATAATTAAATTAATAATTAGTATTTACTTATTATGGGTAGTTTTAAGGCCACTACTTAAGATTTCTTAAAAAAAGCCACATAAGTATTTTTTGAAGAGACTACTGATTTAGATTTACTTAAATTTAGTTCAAATACAATTAAAATCCATAAACAAATGAATTGTTAAATTCTATTCATTTTACCTATGATCTTATAATTAGAAAGTTAATATTTAGATCATATTATATAAAATGGATTTACTGAAATGTAAGTCAAAAATAGTTCTAATTATTATTTAAAAATGATTGAAAAACTTAAAAACAAATGTGTTTATAACGGTGAAGAAGAATGTAATTGCAAAAAGTGTTAATGGTATAATATTACATAAAAATTCTTAGTATAAGAAGAAATAGAAATTCAGCAAAGGAATCATAAAAAAAGAAAAGAGAAGCTTTAGAGAAATTAGGTCCTTTATAGGATGAATATAACAAATTATAAAAAAAAGTAAAGTTTATTATATTATATAAGGTTAAACAATTAGAAACTGAAAATTAATATATGACAACATTAATATTAGATGTATTTAAACATCCATCTGTTGAAAAAATAGCTTCTTAATTTCTCGAGCCTTTAACTAAAATAATTGCAGATTCAGAATCAATTGAAGAATGTTGATGAATAATTAATTTAAGATTTTTATATAATGTATAAATTTCAATCACTATAAGAATATATAGTATTTAAATTTTAATAGTTATATTATATTATATTCACTTATTTTTACCTTATAATATTTATTATTGTTATTATCCTTCTTAAGCTTATTGAGCTTATAAGGCTTATTGCTCTTTTAAATAATTCATATAATTCACACTCTCTAGTAATGGTTTAGGTATTTCTCCATTAGCATTTGGAGGATAATAATCATAATATGTATAAACAGATTCTGATTAAGGTTTAACTTCATTTGTTACATCTTTCTCTCCAAGTTCTTTTTTATGGTTCTATTTATTTAATGAACATCTTTACATTATTTTTAATATAATCAGTCAAACCAAATCCAAACATTTAAGATTAACTTTCATCAATTTAATAACCATCTACTTCTCCTTAAACTAAAAAATTAGGATCCACTGATATTTATTATGTTTAATATTCTTCTATTAATGTAGATGTAGATTATTGTTATTCTCTTGAAGAAGTTTGATTATATAGAGATTTTGATTAATGTAAAGAGTGTTATAAATCAGATGAAACTGATTATTTTTCTGATTTCTCAGTTCTTGAAACTTATTTCACATTTTCTATTTTAGATGTCTATTTTTTTGGTTTAGGAGGTTTGGGCATCTCTTCTGGTTTTACAGGCTTATAAAACTATACACCATCACAAACATCTATCACATTTTATCGCTTTTTGGCTTCATTTTCATAATATTGATATCTTTCATCCATATTAATAATTATTTTTTATTATGGAGCTTCTATTGCAACAATCTATTATTATTAGGCTTCTTAGAAATCTTCTGAAACTTTTCTAGAAATTCTCTCTGTTGATGTTTTTGCTTTAATTATAGGTTTTTGTTAGGATGCTAAACTTATTTCCTTAAATATATACAGCTTCTTTTTTATGCTGGACTTTTAGGCTTAGGTGGAACATACTAATGAATTAATTTAATGAATTACCTTAACCGGTTTTGGTTACCTAGTATTAGCTTATAATTTAACTGCTTAAATAGAAAACTCTGGCAACATATATTATAAAATAAATTAATTTTTTTTTATATAATTATGTATATATTAAATTGCATAATGAATATTAAATTCTTTATTTTTTTAAATTTTATGTTCAAATAAAAAAAGTGTATTAATTTTTATAAGGAGATGATATTAAATTATATTATCATAATTTGAAATCTTTAATGTTTATATTATTGATAATCCTTACTTTAAATTTATAGATATTAAATTTAATCGTATAAGAATTCAAATATTACAAGTAGAATATTTTATCCTTTATTTCCTCTTCTATTTTTTTATAAGTAGAATATTATTTTTTTTTTTGTGAAGAATGAAATTTTTGATTTTAGTTTAATTTCTCATTTTTAATAAAAACTATAGTCAATTAATTTATTGGTTTAGCATAAATAAGCCTTTATAATTGTGCTCATGTTATATCTATATAAATAAAATAAATATTGATAGTATTTTCAATAGAATTTTGAACATAATAAATTGATATATTATACTAATCTTTGAAAGACATCACATCTTTACTAAACTTCTAATTATTATTATATTTGATGAGCAAAAGAACTTTCATATACTTTATTAGAGCAAGAAAGCTAAGGGTTAGATTTCAGACTGAATTAAATAAAATATTAGATTAATGACCTAATAGAGATTGAAAATTGCAAAAAAAATGCTAAGGTATTGAAATTAACTTAAAGCTAAGTGAAGATCAAAAGAAACTTTTTTAAGAGATTAATTAGATTTAGAAGATTAAATAATAATTAATGATGAGATAATTGATTAATTTATAGAAAGAGTAGGAATGAAAAACTTTAAATTTTTACCTTATATAATTAAATAAGAAAAATAATAAGCTAATAAAGGATATTTTATAAAATTCATTAAGTTAAATAGAAAAATGTTTATATACAAATAAATATTGATAATAAATGGGAATTATATAAAGAAATTTAGTATTATGTTTGAAACTTATTAAAATTATAAAGACAAAAAGGATTAAAATTGAAAAATTATTTTTAATTTAAATTTTTAAGAAGTTCATTAAAGTGAATATTTTTTAATGTTCAAATATATATATTTATTTAAAATTCAAAATAAAAATTAAGAAATAAAACAGCTTATTGCAATTGAATTAAGGGACTATTTTTATTCAATACAAATATTCTAGTTATTTTTAGAGATATAATCTAACTTTTTGTTTAAAGCTAAAATTAATTATTAGAAATTTAAGAAACAGATTATTATTACCATATAAGAAATTTATTACTTATTTAGAGTATGAAATAAACCTGATGGTTTGAAATTATATATTTCAAAAAAAAATATTAAATTATGGAAGACATAAAATAAGTTCCATCCTTTCTAATAAAATTGTATGAGATTCTTGAAGTAATTATAACTTGCTATTCTTGAGTCTGAATAAGCGGCAATATGTTGGAATAAGGAGGGAACAACATTTTTGATTCAAGATATTGGATAATTGACTGATCAAATTTTACCTTTAAACTTTAAACATAGGAATTTTCAAAGCTTCTTAAGGTAGATAATGAGTTAATTATCTTAGGCAGCTTAATATGTATGGATTTAAGAAATTGAAAAATAAATAAGGGAAAAATGAATTTGTACATTAGTATTTCAGAAAAGGAATTAAGTATAAGTGAATTTATTTATCTAAGAAATAACTTATTAAAGATTAAACGTAGAAATTAAGAAGACATAAAGTAGAGTCTGAAGACTTTAACTAAGGAATTTTAATCAGAATCATATTTGCATGAGCATGAAAAAATGAGAAAGTAATTAATGTTTATGCAATCAGAACAATAGAGAATATTATATGAAATTAGATTCTAAATGAATTATAATTAAAAATTGTAAAGAGAAACATAGGATATCATTGATGTAAGTTATTATGAACTTATATAGAAAATAAACTAAATAAAAAACTATTCAGTATCAAAACTCAATAAACTAATACTAATTATTTAGAAACTACCTTAAGATGCTCAAATTAGTAAGATGGTATTGTTAAAAGATAAAATTTAACGAAAATTGGAAACAATTGAAATAGACAATATTTAAGTAAAAGATATCTCTTTTGATAAATAAGAATCAAATAGTTATTATGATGCTAATTTAACAGGAGTTAGAAGTCCTGCTGGATATTCACCTAAGTCTAAATGAATTATATTTATTGATAAAAATTAGAAATAAAAAAAAGGAATTTCTTCACTAATATTTTGACTTAATTTTAAAACATAGAGATTTATGTAAATTGATTAAGATTTCATTTAAATTTTTGATGAAGAAATAGAATTATGTTAAAATAGTTTAATGTAAAAAATAAAATAATTAATGATTAAAGGAAATATTTGAATAATAAAATTGAGAAAATGTAATATATTTAATTTAGATTGAGAATGATATTGAATAAAGTGATTGAAAATTTAGAAAATAAGAATTTTTGTTGAATTATTATTATAAACAATATAATTAAATGTTTTGGTCTAAGAGACCCGAAACTTACAATTAACCTCGTCAATTTTTAGGGAATTTTAAATGTGAAAGGACTTTATTAGAATTAGAGGAATTTCCATCGAATTTCATAAAAACATCAAGGTAAGTAATCATGTGAAGTATAGATATAATGTAGTAACTTTTCTTCCGAAATCGTTACTCCTACAATTTACTCGATATGCTAACATTTACTTTTTGTGCATAGCAATTATTTAATGTATTCCAGTGCTTTCAACACTAAACCCTTTCAGTGCAATAGCTCCATTAGTTTTTGTGTTAGGTTTATCAATGGCTCGTGAAGGTATTAAAAATTAGATAATATTTAAGGGTGGGAAGACTATGGACGTCATGTATCAGACAATGAAGTAAATTCAACAGAATGTATAATCCTAAAAAACAGAGTGGCGACAAAGTAATGAAATAATAAAATTGTTAGTTCAACATGGGCAGAATTATCAGTAGGAGATTATATATTAGTGAAGAAGGATGAGAGTTTTCCTGCTGATCTAATTGTGCTTTCAAGTTCAATTGAAAGTGGGGCTTGTTACATAGAGACATCATCATTAGATGGAGAAAAAAATTTAAAACCAAAGAGTGCTATTTTAGAGAGTCAATAGCTTTATAAAGAAATAGAAGGTTATTGTGAAGATCAGATACGAGTTGAAGCATAGGTTCCTACATAAAATCTTTATGAATTGGATGCTTCTTTGTTTTTGCCAGTTGATGGTAAAGAGAAAAAGTTTTAGTTAACAGCTAAATAATTATTGTTAAGAGGTGCATTTCTAAGAAATACTGATTGGATTATAGGTTTAGTTGTTTATACAGGATAGGATACTAAAATCATGAGAAATGCTGATGCTTCAAGAGTGAAGTCAAGTGAAATAGAAAGAATTATGAATATTCTTATTTTAGGAATTTTAGTAGTGTAAATCATTTTATCGATCATCACAGCTGCCTTTTCTTCAGCTTGGTTACATAATTATGGAAGTGATAGTTGGTATTTAGAGTATACTGACTTTTAACCAAACTTGCTTAGTTTTTATGCGTTTTTCAGTTATATTTTATTATATAATACAATGATTCCTATATCATTGATAGTTAGTTTAGAATTTGTTAAAGTGTTCTAAGCTTACTTTATTGAATAAGATGAAGAGATGTTTGTTGCTCAAAGGAAAAAATATGCAAAAGTGTAAACAACAACTATAAATGAAGAATTAGGATAGGTGGAATATATTTTCTCTGATAAAACAGGAACTTTGACTTGTAATCAAATGGAATTCAAGTATTGCATAATAGGAAATATATTATATGGCAAAGAACAATAAAATACAAATAATCCAGTATAAAATGTAGATCTAAAAAGACAGCAAACCGCTAAAGTAGATAATGAAAGTGAAGTATTCCAACATTCAGTTTTTAATTTTCAAGATGTAGAATTAAGTGCCATTCTTAAAGGTGAAGGATCCACAGGTGATATGCCAATAAATCTTAAAATTGTATCTTAAGATGGTAAATAATAAGTGACATTGTCTAATCAGAGAGAATTAATTGAAGAATACTTTTTCTTACTTTCTTCAGCTCATGAGTGCATTATATAATATGATAAGAATTAAAATGCTTCATATTAAGGTCCATCTCCAGATGAGATCACTCTTGTAGATGCAGCTGCTAGATTAGGATTTTAATTTACTGGATCATCTGCAAGTGAATAATGTTTCAAGATTTTGGGCAAAGAAAAAAAAGTTAAATTATTAAAATCATTTGAATTTGATTCTACTAGAAAAAGAATGAGTGTTATAATAAATGATAATGGAATCATAAAATTATATATAAAAGGAGCAGATAATATTATTAAAGATAGATTATTACCTAATTAACCATTTTTGAATGAAATTATTAATTATTTAGATGATTTTAGTAAAATTGGATTAAGATGTTTACTTATGGCTTCAAGAGTGTTATCTCAGTAAGAATATTAAGATTTTGATCATGCTTATAATAATTTACCAGATAATGAGACTAGAGCTAGTGAATTAGGTAATGTTTATTTTTTTAAAATATAGAAAAATTAACAAGTAATTTAGAAAAATAACTTACTTTATTGGGAGCATCAGCTGTTGAAGATAAATTATAACCTTTAGTTCCAGAGACTATAGCAGATTTATTAAAAGCTAATATAAAAGTTTGGATGTTAACAGGTGATAAATTAGAGACAGCAGAAAATATAGCCAAAAGTTGTAGATTAATTTAAGGAGATTTTACAGTGATGAGATTATCAGTTCCTACAGTTGATGAATGTAAAAAGAAATTAGGAGATATCTAAGATACTTATGATCTATGTATAAAGGAGAATAGAAAAAAAGTATTTAAACATATTATTTTAGTCAATAGTAGTTGAAGGATCATCATTATAATTTATAATAGATAATGAAGATTTAGCATAGGCTTTTGTTAGTATGGCAAAAGATTGTGAAAGTATTGTTTGTTGC